TAAGCAACTCAGTGAGACCCTGTCTCTAAACAAAATACAAGAAAGGGTTGGGTAGGGCCGGGGTGTGGCTCAGTGGCAGAGCACTTGCCTAGCATGTGTGAGGCACTGGGTTCGATCCTCAGCACCACATAAAAATAAAGTAAAGGTATTGTGTCCATCTATAACTTTAAAAAAAGTGCTAGGGATATGGCTCAGTGGTTGAGTACCCCTGGGTTCAATTCCCAATACCAGAAAGAAATGTTTAAGATTTTTCAGTATGCAGGTTTTATAATTTTTGTTAAATTGTTTCATAGACATTTGACTTTTATGGTATTTTTTGAGGTACTGGAGACTAAACCCAGGAGTACACTATCACTGAACTACACCCCCCAACCTTTTTTATTTTAAGACAAGTTATCGCTAAGTTACTGAGACTGGCCTTTAACTTCTGATCCTCCTGCCTCAGCCTCCTGAGCAGCTGGGATTACAGGGCTGTACCACCACACCCAGCTATTTAAATGTTATTAATGAGGGGTTGGGGATATAGCTCAGTTGGTAGTGTGCTTGCCTTGCATGTACAGGCCTTGGGTTAAATCCCCAGCACCACAAAAATAAATAAGTAAATAAAAAAAATGTTGTTAATGAGCATTATTACATTTATAATTCTGCTAAACAACCTGTTTAAATTGGAGAGGGGAAGTAATGTTTGTTAGTAAAACTTAAGCGATTAAAATTCACAAAGAAACAAATTCCTTAATTCACTATCATATACTTCTTTCTACATCTTTTTCCTATAGGTGTACAAAAATTGCATCTTATCACAACTGTCTTATGCACCTTGTTTTTTTTTTCACATACAAATATATTGAAGATTCTATAGGACTCTATTTATACAAAATTCTACAAGAGGCAGAACTATAGCACAATAATAGACTAATGGCCACAGGCCTGAATGGGATGGGAAGAGACTGCCAAGGGGCAGAGGAAACTTTCTGGAGAAAAAAATATTTAATGTCTTGATTGTGACAATTGTTACTTAGAGGATACATTTGTCAAAACTCATCTATTGTCTACTTAAAATGTGCACATTCTATTGCAAATTCACACAATAGAACATCAAACCATTTTCTGTAACGCAAGGAAGTGATTAAAACCTTTATGGTAAGAGACATTCTTCCAGTGTGACACAGGCCTTGTGCTCTGTGTGATCTCATGGTTCAGCACAGCAGAACAGGGCAGTCATTCACTTTACCAGTCCCTTCTGGGTAGATACTTACTCTTTACCCCTTCCGTTTCTTGCTTCTGCAATCAATGTTTCTGTGGTCTCCCTCCTAGTCCTGTCTTTGAACACCTGTCTGGTTATTTCTTTAGGATAAATTCCCACGTGTGGAATTTCTAGAGCAAAAGTTATTTAGTGGCACTAAATTGATGATCCACAATCAGGGCTAGGGATGGAGCTTTGTGGTAGAGCTTGCCTAGCATGCATGAGACCCCAGGCTTAATACCCAGCACTGGAAAATTAACCATAATTTTTGTAATAATTTACATTTAACACAAACTATGTATTAAGATTCCTACTACTGCCACATTCTCAGTAAGGCAGCCTAGTATGTTTTCTTCTCTCTCTCTCTCTCTCTCTTTTTTTTTTTTTGGTACCAGGGATTGAACC